TTGGTAGATCAAAGGACCAGTAAACCCTAAAGTGGAAGTCCATACTATTTCTAACTATGCTTACACCTGCTACCACCCCCATACTAACTCTTATTCTAAATACCCTGTGAAAGTGTCAGGGATCGCAGCTTCGTGGTCCACGATCGCGGCTCTGTCCCCCGCGCATGCGCATTGGGCAGATCGCGCCGGGACACAGGCACTAGGTCCCGGCGAGCCGCGGCTGACAGGACGCCGCTCATGCGCAGTAGGTGCCGGGGGCGCGCCTCAGGCGCCCAATGATAGCCGGGGGCGCGTCCTAGCCGGCCAATGACAGTGCAGGGCGCACTATTTAAAGATGCCCTGCACTGTCACAGATTGCCGCAAGGTCTTCCTGTGATCCTGAGTTCCTGCACCTGTCTAGTGACCCTGATTGACCCTGACTACGCTGCCTGCCCCTGTGACTGACCCGGATTGCCCTGACTATTCTGCCTGCTCCTGTGATTGACCCGGATTGTCCTGACTACTCTGCCTGCTCCTGCGTTTGACCCGGATTGCCCTGACCATTCTACGGATTGACTTCCCTGCTGACCCTGCGTGTGACCCGACTACTCTTCGCCTACCGATTCTGTACCCCGCTTACCCTCACGGGCCCACGATCCGTTACTACCCTGCTGGGGCCGCCATCCTCTTCATATCTGGCTCTCCCGGTACCTGTCCCCAAAGGTCTCCTCAGCCACTGGTGGGCCTGCTCGGAGGTCGTGACCTGGCCGGGACTGTTTCAAGTCCATCCCCACCATCAGGGGCTCTGGTGAAAGCACAGCCCGGGCTTAGACCCCACGCTCTGAGTAGGTCTGCCAGTTGGCAGCCTGAGGCACCACCTGGCGGATCATAACAGAAAGGAAGTTGTGTATACAGTACTTACCTAAGCTGAGGGTGCTCCAACCTAGACATGTGATCACCCCAGGGACTAGCATCAGGGGAGAGGATAGAGCATTGATAATGGCTTCAGAGCCTGGGCAGTGATGTCACCCTAAGGCTTACTATGGGGCATCCATTGCTGGCTGTCCCTCCTCTTCCCTGAAGCCATCGCTGGGAGACGATAATGTGACCAGCTCATAGCACCCTGTGAATAGGTAAGTATAAGCATTTTCCTTCTACAAAGTAGTTAGAATAAGATTTAGTAGGGGGTGGGTGCAGTTAAGCATAGCTAGGAAAAATCCGGGCGTCGACTTTATAGCGGAGCTCCACCCAAGAGGGGAAGTTCTGCTTTAAGGCTCTATCACCCACGCCCCTTTAAGGATTGTCACCTTTGGGGAGCGGAGGGGAGGGGGTACCCAAATTTAACAGGTACCCTCTCCCACTTCCGCTGTGATTGCCTAGGCGATCAGAAGTGGAAGTTGTCCTCCTCTCCTCCCACCCCGTAGTCTTCTGGGACGTGACAGGTCCCAGATGACTATGGGACTACTCAGAAAGCTCAGCACTACTCATCATGCACATTGAGCATTCAGCTGTGAATCCGTAAGCTGTCACAGCTGGGTGCCCACACTGAAGATTCCTGGTGCCAGGGACACAGAATGGCTGGTGAATCTGGCCAGACTGAGGACACAGCAAGATCAAGGGACAAGTGAGTGTCCGTTTTTTAAAGGTCAGCAGCTACAGTTTTTATAGCTGCTGACTTTTAATTTTTTTTTATTTTGACTGGACCTCCACTTAAAGTTGTATCTAAAACCTAAAAATTTACTTTTCTTATATGCTCCCTTTTGGTCTGTTTAATATATTATTGAAAGCATTTTGTTATATTTGTTTGATAAGTACAAAAAAAAAAAAACACCTATAAACCCTGTTAATCTTGAAATGTAGAACTGTCATATGTCTTCCGCATACTTCCTGTGTTCTCCTAGTTTCTATCTTGGATTACAGAATAATTAGTCATTATGTTATGAAGCTCCCAAAGTAGAACTGCTTGATTAGTTTGGGAAAAGACACTGGGCAGGGCTGACAACCATTCACAAATAAGCTGTGTGTTGTTAGCACAAATAGAACTTAGAAGCTGAGTGCCTTGCAGATCAAAAGGTATTTTCTGTACGTAGAGGGTCTTTAAAATGATTAACATGGTGAAATATGGATATATTGCAGATACTGTATGTTCTGCAAATGTTTTCTATTTAATTTGCCTTGATATATGCTTTAAAGAGAAACTATAATGATTTTTGGCTATTAAGTGTTCTTGCATGGCAAGACCACTTACTGTTATCTCACATATATATTCTTATTATTATAGCCAAATTTACCACCCTAACTCCTCCCACAGTTTTTACACTACATAGACAGTAATATACCGAAACATGCGGATTGTTCCCGATTGGTGTGCTATTACTTTGTGGAACGTTTCGCTGAATGGTTCACGAAATATCGGCATTTTTGTGGTGAAACTGGTCCCATAGAAATGAATGGCGGAATGTTCAAAACTAGAGTGGGAGCTGACAAAAGGTAGAGTGTGAGCTGAAAAATTAGGACATGATTTCTTCATTTTTAATATTTCAGAGACATACTATGCATCAAAAACGTAGGTCTGGGTCTTCTGATTCTCACAATATAAAACTCTTCGGTGTACGATTTATAATTTTTAAACTACAACCGTTTGAAGATGACAACCGCCAGTGAAGTGAGCAAGTTGGAGCAGTTTGTTTTTAACTGCTCTTCTCTGCCCTTGCTGTAGAGTGAGTTGCCATAGGAACCCAGGTGTGTGAGCAGGCAGCAGAGTGACAAAAGTTAGAGTGTGAGTTGTAGACTACTGGTGGAGGCAAGAACACTTCACACAATTTCCCCAGAAATTGTAGCTTTTCTAGTTTTTATTTAATTTACTTTTTGCAATACTTGTTGGTGAAATTTATGCTACTTTTTCATTACTTACACATACACTTCCAAGAAACTGCAATAACAGAGCATTCTCTGCTTTCTAATAAGGCAGCAGTAGGCTGTCTGTCTCTAACTGAGGCTTCATACACTATGAAATAAAGACAAGGGGATTGTCCCTTCCGTTGTTCAGTTATGTATTCCAGAGACAATTAAACAGCAGGTAATCAAATGTTCATAGGCATTATTTCATATTTATATACAGTAACTAAAAAGAAATACAAAATATTTTTAAATTTGTACTCTTCAGTTCTGTACATAGGAAGTCAAGAAACAATGTGTGTGTGAATATATGAATCTACTCATACAAGCAAAAAAAAAAAATCCTGTTACAGAGACCCCTTATAATCTTTAACACAGTAAAGTAAACCTACAGCTTTTATTTAAAAAGATTACCTAGTAATGCTGCCATGAAGGCCCTCATTTGTTCTCCTTTGTTGTTAATTGTCACAAGAACTCTACTGGGGACTACAGGCGCCTGCACCAGCACTTAGTGCGCAACCCTGTTTAACTAATATAATCAATTCAGAAGCCCCCATGAGCAATGGGGAGAAGTGGCTGAACGAGGCTGGAGGAATCAGAAGCACTGAGATGTAAAATAGGATGAAAAAAAACATATTTTCTAAGAAAAAAAAATGACATAATTGTTTATGATGTACAGAATTTTAGCAAATTAAACATCATCCAATTAGGATTTAAATCCATTTTAACAAAATAGTAAATCATATTTGACTTTAATGTAGTAGCTTAATGATGTATGTTAGCTATCATTTTAGACTAAAATACATATTCATCTATAGTATTTCTGGACAGAAAAATAAATATATAAATAACTACACTTAACCCCAATACATTCCAGAATATTTTATGCAGCTACCTAGGTTTATCACTAAGAACATTTAAATTGGAATTTTTATTTATGGTTCATTAACCCCTTTACGCCGATGTCACACAAATATGTGGCCTCACAGAACTAGGCTTTTTTCCGTGGGGCCGCATGCCTGTCTTTGTGCTGGGAAAAAAAAGATAAATAAATGTTTAAAAAATCAAAGAAAAAAAATAAAGAAAAAAATACCTAGATCAAGGTTTGATTTAGTTCAGTGCCAGGGTTAGTGTTTGTGTCAAACGTCAGGGGTTTTTGTTTTTTTTTAAATTGGTATCAGTGCCAGTTAGTGTCAGTGTATTTTAAGTAATAAACCCCCAAAATGCGCAGTATTGTTTCTGGGCTGTACTACGGGTACAAACAACAAATAACATGCACATATATGGTAATGCTGCTATCGTCAAGAGCTGGAAAATTTATTTTGAGTTGTTTTTTGGTAGTAGGTTATGGTAGTAAAAAGGAACACACAGTTAAATTTATAATAGTGTTTTACTATTTTGGGACAGTTTTTCTTTGATAATAAAAAAAAACAGGAGATATCCATTACCATTTACCAACAAATGAAAGCCCAATTTGTCCTGAAAAAAAACAAGGTATAATTCACCTGGATGCACAAAGTAGTTGTGATGATATGTAGGGTTTTACTAACACATGTCAACCTTGTAAAATTGTGCTTAGGCGTTAAGATTTGTTTTACACTTAGGCGTGAAGGGGTTAAGCAAGTAGGGAATAAATATTAGGATGGCCCAAAAGATATAAGTTGCCTATTGACACAATGGGATACAGTATTGAGGGATTCATATGCATTATGATGATTACATTTTTGGGCATTGCTGGCACAAACACAAAGTTAGACATGTGGGCAGGAGCGGTTGCATGGATCCGAATGCAGAACCTCTGTGTTCGGATCTGACCACCCGCTCCTGCCTGCATGTCAAACTTTGACATGCACTTGTGTCCCTGCCAGCATTGCGTGTTCATCCATTTCTATGAGCGGCCTGCACACAGCTCCAAGGTTAATGCACACGCATCTGCCAGTGGCTCAGCACTGAGCACAGCACTAATCTGCCATCTGAATGAGCCCTTATGATCATAAATGGTAGATACATTTGTAAAAGTTTAATTTTCTGCCATATGTGTTTACGTGGAGAAATACTCTTATTTTGTATGCAGTCTTGCTGGAGTACAGTGTAAGAAAGTCAACGGATACTCTAAGGGTGCCGGATATCAGGTAGGGAAAAAAATCACTGATGATTCAGATCATGCCTGGAACATGGTGTATCTGGAAGATCGATGGCACCTACTGGACAGCACATGGGGAGCTGGTACAATTAACATGAAAATAAACAAGTTCAATTTTAGGTAAGTGAACTAGTAATCCCAAAATACTAAACAGATGTGTTGTTTTTTTTTTTGTTAGATAAACTTTGTTTCTTGCTTATATTTTCTAGGCATGATGAGTTTTATTTCCTCACCCATCCTGCCCTCTTTATAGAGGATCATTTCCCTGAACTGGGAGACTGTCAATTACTTCACACAAAAGTACCTTTGGAGATCTTTGAAAGGTCTCCACATGTTCATAGTGACTTTTACGGACTGGGAATGGTATCCTACCAACCTCGCACAGGAGATATTGAAACAGGTAACAACAGCTTAACATCCTCCTTTCTCTTTGCATGGCAAATCATTTACAATATAAAGCATAGATTATACCTTGTATATATGTAGCATTACCCCCTCAAGAGCTGCTGAGTATGTTGGGTTCCCTGTTGGGACTGCCAGTAACCAGAGCCAGTGTTTAATTCTCTGAGGGTTTAAGCAAGAGAAAAGTCCCTTATAGAACATCACACAATGCTGGAGTAACTCTTTTGTCGGCTTTTTGGAGCTCTTTAGGTGCACAGTGAAGGAGTAGTCCCTTTTTTATGAGAAATGTCACCTCCCCAGAGATGATGACACAGCAAGCAGAGTTTCCCTTTTATAAAGGCAATAAGCTGGGGGTTTAATTGCGTAAAAGGGGTATAGTGATTATTCATCTGGGAGGGGGGGAGTAACAGCATTTAGCTGGTGTGTCCCTTTAAGTGAAAGATTTGACTGGTGGAACTTGTTGCTTCTCTGTATAGAATAGGCCTGAGATAATATGCTTTTACCTTTTACAGTGCCTGCCCATCAGGCAAGTAGAAATGATTAAGGCTGAAATATTGTGTGTAGTACTTAAATGGGCTACTGGTGTAGATAGGCCACAGTACTGATTGGGCTACAGAGTCTGTATCTCTATATGGCAGTCTGTGTTGTAAGAATCCTGGACTTAAATAACTGGCAACAACAGTAACTGAACTTGTAACATGGTTGTGTGGTATGGGTTGGGAATCCACTCACATGGTCCTTCAAAGTTCTGGTGCAAAACATTGGCCTTGCTGGGGGGGGGGGGGGGGCCTCTTCTCATTGCCTTCCTGAGGAGATAGTGGTGCCAATGGCGATGACCCAATCTATTTGCATGCATGATCGACTATCCTGGCTCTCATTACAATCAGCAATCTGGAAATTCCCTTCTCAGTCCTCTGGTCCAATCTGCCTGAGGCCTAGTGGATTGGCACTCTGCTCTCACACACGTCCTGCCTCTCTCTTTTAGTCTTCTCCTCCCCCCTTGGGTTCCCGCCTTTCCTTTTTTATATGCTCCTGCCCCTTTGCTCATTCACTTAGGATCTGCAGTTCTATGTCAGCTAAACCGAATGAAGAAATCCTGCTTGCAGCATACAAGTCCTATCATTCTTAACATTGCTGTATGATTTCCAGTGTCAACTGAGCTGTAGAGCCCTGTCATCTTGTGGCCATTTAACATTCTTCAATCCGTAACAGTGCAGTGTGTTACATAAAAACTAAAAACTTGGCATACATTAATGAAGATAGCATAGTTTCCTCTTGAAGACTCAGTGTGAAATATATCTTGTATCTTAGGGATGCACCAATACCGAGTATTTTCAAGAGTACTCGTACTCCTGAACATGTTCCCAATACCCAAAAACGATACTTTGCGGTGCTATTTTCGTCAATACAAAATATATGGACGCAAATTGCACCGTAAAGAATAGCATGCGATTTGAACAGGAATGCAATTCCTGTACAAATCACATGTGGTCTAGCCATTGCTCCTGTGTGAACCCAGATTTGTCATAGCCTGAGTTCATACAGGAGTGATGCAAGAAACCTCCCTGTACCGATCCCAAGTTGTCATAGAAGGAAAAGCTGCTTCACAGGTCTGGGGATTTGAAATCCTTGGGGCTTTCTCTCCTCTTTGTGCAGAGATGACAGTATGGGCTAGATGGCTTTGAAATGGTCAGCACCTGTGAAGCAGCTTTCCTTTCTGTGACAGCATTTTTATTTTTATTATATTTATTTCAGTTACTTATATTCAATTTCGCAGCACTTTACATATATATTGTACATTCACATCAGTCCCTAACCCTCAAGGGGTGTACAATCTAAGGTCCCTAACTCACATTCATATACAAGGGCCAATTTAGACAGGATCCATTTAACCTACCAGCATGTCTTTGGAGTGTGGGAGGAAACGGGAGTACCCGGAGGAAATCCACGCAGGCACAGGGAGAACATGCATACTCCAGGCAGGAGGTGCCATGGCTGGTATTCGAACCAAGGACCCTAGTACTGCCAGGGAGAAGTGCTAACCATTTAGCCACTGTGCTGCCCAGCATGGGATGCAAAGTATTGGTACTCGGTATCGGTGAGACCTTGACTGAAAAAATCGGTACTTGTACTCGCCAATTAAAAAAGGGTACCGGTGCATCCCTATTGTATAACATATATATGTTGGGTCTTATGATGGACTGCCTGGCACCCTGCTGGAGTGCCTCCATCAGAGAACTGCTTCCTCGCTGCTGGGACACAATACAAGGTGTTATAGTTGGGCATTGCACCCAAGACTAGATGACACTAGCTTAAGTGCAACTGGAACTGTTGATTGAACAGAAATACTGTTTTTTATACACTTCAGAAATAGAGGCAGTCCCTACATAAACAATAAAAACAAATATTATACACTGGGATAAATATCCTACACTGATTAGATAATGAGGTAAAGCTGACACCAGACTAATCCCATCATGTAGGGACCTCCAGGAGGACTAGCCAACACACAGAAACAATAGGTGACTCAACTCAATTAACAATGGGAGAAAAACACAGTAAACACATCACTTTAATAAACAGGTTACAGTAAGAGACCTCAGCATCAGGTTGTCTTGAGATGATTATATTAACATCTGCTCTGAGTCTGAGTCTAGAAGGGGGGGGGTTGAAGCAGTCAATGCTGGTTTGGGCACAGAATGTGCTCTTATTGTGTGTGTTTTGGGGAGACATGGACTTGAATCCAAAGTAAAACTACTCCAAAAGGTCCCCCAGGCACACACCTCCCAAAGAATAGAGCCCCCTCAGATGCCAGGGCCCATGGTCAGTAGGCAAGAGGCTAGCCTGTAGTCACCTACAAAAGCCATTGTACTGGTTTGTCTGTCACAGGTCTCAATAATACAATATACAATACCATTAATGTAAAGTGGTGTCAGACTAAGGTGTGCAATAGTTGCTATGAACTAAGATAATGGGACTCCTCAAATGGTCACAATATAATGTCATTGTTTCAAAGAAAATATTTGAAACCATAAATGAGCACTAATATTAGAGCTGATACAGCTAACATTATGTTTAACAGCTAGCTTCAGATTAAGTGACTTTTATGGAGCCTTAGATCTTAACCTTAGCCAATTTAAGGAACCATTCAGACTATGCAGTGTATTAATGCATGGTGAAGTTCATGGAGTTTCATTCGAAGTTTAGATTAGGTGTGAGGGATGGATTAAGAGGAATATTGGGTCAAGTAAAACTATGGCCTGCCTTTAACAATATGTGTGCTGCAGCACTTTAATATAAGAAAAGCTGCACTTACAGTTACTCTTACTCTGAAAAAATCCTTCAAATACCTGTTGATCCTACCAGTGACATCCACATGCAACTTTCTGTGATAGTGTGACTACAGCTCTGCACTACTATTGAATTCAAAGCCACTCCCATGTACGTGGTGTTTATTTGCACAAGAGTAGAATGAAAAAATGTTGAAGAGGCGACCCTACTGATAGTGTTACTGCTGAGTCACAAGCCTGTAGCTTTTCAATCAGCACCTGGCCACACCTAGTTCTGCCCATTGCTTCATGAATCTACAGCACTGACTTTACCACTGAATCACTTCCACTGTGAACAGCAGTGTTGTGGGGGAGATGTAAGAGGTGAGAATTTGCTTCTGATAAGGGAAGGTAAAGAAATTTTTTTGTTTACTTTGAGACATCTGCATTACATAATAACTGGATTTGGAACTTGTTTAGACTGTCATACAATATACTTTAGTAGTACTTTGAGGTGTAATGTTTAAAGTCTATCTCTAGCCAAAACTTCTAATCCAAAATTGTTTGTCAGCAGAAAAAGAGGTAAAAGATATGGCAATGCACTGAGGATTGTGCATTTACTTGTGTTGTGTAAAATGTACAGTTTACCCCATCTTACTTTGCCACACCAGTGTGAATAGGCCTTCAAACTTTCAGGATTAAGAAAAAATTGTTTGCTTTTTATCATTTGTACATTTAATTGGTCATACATAATTTAGAATACTACAAGATAAGATGCAACAAAGTCAGTTTTCAGGTTTAGTGGAATGTGAAACATTATTCAGGGCCTACGTAGAATCAGGGTCCACCGGGGTATCCCCTAGTAAGTAGAATGTCTCATCCAACACTGGTTTAAATTTTGCTTCTCAGTTGGGGTGTTAATGAATTACATATTGTCCTTATTGAAAAGATTTATTTTAAAACTGCTGAAATATTATGTCTTATCCATTTAATTGACCTACTTTTGTGATATCTTTAGCAATAGGGAAAGTCTCTATTGCCATTGAGAGCTGCAATGATCTCAAATTCCTTTTCAACCTCAATGGTCAAGAAGGTCCAGGTATACTGACAATGTTGGACAATGGAATGAAGCTTGATATTTATCCTCAACAGACTGGTCTTCATGACTTAAATATTTTTGCCCAAAAAGAAGATGTTGAAGAAGAATTGCAATTGGTTATAGAATACAGAATTCATTGCAAACACGTTGACAGCAATATGAAGATTCCAAAGTGCATCCATAATCCTGTAGGCCCAAACAGGCTAACTGAAAAAGCAGGGCTAATGAACCCTTCACATGCAGATCCAGTGATTTATACGGATAATGGATTCTGTACTATACATTTCATGCTGAAGCAGAAATTACATTTTTTATGTAAATTACAGTCTGATGAAGTACGAATGACATCGGAGATGGAGAACAGGCACATATTCACAATAGAAAAAGAGAACAAAGTGTTCATAAATGTTTGCCTTCCTCAGGCAGGAACCTATGTTTTAAAGGTTTTTATCAAGACTGATAATAATGATAATAGTAATTATACATACATATGCAATTATCTCATTATTTGTACCAACCCTACAGTAGGATGGCCAGTGTTTCCACTAACATACTCTAACTGGGCCAAGAACTATGAGTTGGTGCAGCCTCTAGAAGGCATTTTACCTGCAAATACT